ACTGAGCCAAGAAGTTTTCCTCTATGTCTCTGTCACGAATCTTTGTATTGATACGATTCCTAGCCTTATTATTATTCTGTAAAGAACAGAAGAACATCAGGATTCCTAAAACGGCTTACTTTTGCCTTCAGGAAGGTACCAAGGCCTGTCATTAACTGAATGATCAAAATCTTTCTACTCATACAAGTTCCTTGTTTCTAAAGTTAAACATAGAAAAAACCTAGTGATTCAGTTACAGTTTGCCAACTTCTAGAATTAGTTTTTCTTCTGTAATAATTCTTCTCAAGCCCTCTCATGCTTACTAACAAATACTCTTTAATGATCTAAATGTTTATGTAAGCAATAAGTTCTTAGGAAAGACTCAATTTTTCTACATAACTTTTTTCCGGGGAACTTTCATTAATTTTATTTTTTGTTTACACTAGCTTTTTGTTATTCCAGGTCTAGCTTTTTGGTGAGAGACCTTTAACAGTGAGAAATATAAGTACAGCAAAAGATGTGTAGCAAAAGTCCACCAAGGGCAGTGGGGACTCAGTCTAGGTTGTCTGAGCACCGGAACTTTGTCAAGCAGCACCTTCTGGACCCTTGGCATCACCAGGAACTTGTTTATCCTTTAATAAGAAGCTTGTCAGCAAGGCAAACCAGTCTGTGAGTTTGCCTTTTTAATCAGGAGACCTAATAGCTCTAGAAAGACAAGGCCTGGTTTTCATATATGATATACACAGACCAGGGACCTGTAACCTTGAAGGAGAATCTGGCTGCCTGTGGCTGACAAACTGGCAAAGCTACAGTTAGCTACCAACATCACCAGGAATCACAGAAGGATAAATTATAGCAGGAAGTATAAACCAAATGGCCTCTGTATTGATTGAAATGACAGGGACTTAACCAGCTACCTGGCCTATTACTCTAGTAGGCTGCCATGATCTCAATGGCTCTGTTGTGGGGCAGAAGCCATAGGTCTTCAGCTGTCACACAGGACAGCATAGCATCTTCAGCTGCTGTATAGGCCTTCAGCTGCCAGACCCAGAAGGTCTTCAAGATCTTCGTGTGGAGAATGAACTTGGGAAAAATTGGCCTACCTTAACATAGGCAGAGTAGAGCATATATATGGCCCTTAGACATGGGCTTATAAAAACAAACCCCACAAGGATACATATTTCCCACCTTCATCCAATCAGCAACAAACATACATTCTGACTTCCTGCCTACATGTGACCAAGCATATACATCCTGTACAATTGGTGCCACCATGCTTTTTTTGAGAAATGAATACACAGGGCTTGTTATCTTACATGAAGAGCCCCCAGCATTACAGGGAATTATCTGTCCTCAGGGAAGTGGAGTTACAGGTTAGAGGTGATTTTGTCTTTATATGTCTTAATAATGAAAATGTAACTAAAGCATAACTATAGTAATCACAAATGCCCACCCGTAAAGTGGAAACCTAGGGGTCCTCTGGAAAGTCAGTTGTGTTGGATGGTGTTTTGTTGGGACAAACACGTGAAGGAGTGTTGTCCTGAAGTGGACACAAGTGAAAAGATGTTTTACTAAGGCAGGCAAGTGAAGGAAATTTTCACTGAAGCAGACACAAGTAAAAAGATGTTCGGCTAAAACAAGCACGTGAAAAGACATGTGATGAAGGATTCTTCCTTAACGACACACGTGTATTGGTCCGACTTACACTGAGGAGTTGAGCTCCATTTGTTGCAGCTCCATAGAGAAAAATTCACTAAAAAACTTCTCAAGGCATGCCAAGGCTTCTTGCTGCTTCCACAGATTCAGGCTTGTTGGATTGAAGTGTACTCGTGGGACCTGTTGGATTGATGTGTGGGTCCTGCCTCTGTCTTGCCACGTGGCTAGGGACTCTCTTGGGGACAGAGGTGCAGGAATTTGTGTTCACTCCACGATGGCGCCAGGCGGACATGGGGCTATGTGAAGCTACAGGACTTCTCTCATGGGTGGGGAGCACAATCCAAGGTCCCACGTGGAGCCAGAGCTCTTGGGGAGGGGGGCGGGGGGATGAGCTCTGGCTGTGTCCTGTGGGGATGAGAGTCTTGGTCACACGTTCACTTGGCTGGGTCACGCTGGCTCGGCTTGTTTGCTTGGGTTGGTGGTCTCTGTGGCTGAGAACGTAGAGAGGTCATCTATGGGAGATTAGGAGGCGGCTCAGTAGTTGAAAACCTTCTCCACTGTTCCCCACAGCAGGTCCCAAAGAAGAGAAACAGTCCATGGTCTTAAAATATTTATTTTCATGGCGAAAAATGGATGAAAACTATATCCTGGTATTTTCAGGGCAGGCCTGAGGTGTTACCTTTTGAAAGGAGGAGGGTCTAAGAAGGAATGTTTAATTGGCCACACCCCTCTGGCCTTTAGGTACCTCATTAATACAGAGATCTGTCTTGAGGCTCTGTGACATGTAGTCATGTCCTCTACCTGTGGAAGGGCTAGGAGGTGTTGTCCTATGTGACTGGAGGACCCCACTCTATGGAGGTCTTTGGACTCATGTCAGGGCCTGGAGTCTGGGAGCATGGTGAAATGCATGCTGTCCCTTAGGATCACCTGGGGTCTCTGGCAATTTTTAGCCAGTGCATCACCAGAAACTCTGCTGTCCTTTCATGGTCCTACATAGGCTGATTGGCCAAGTGATGTCAACTGAGACAGACTCACATGGAATTTTACTAAGTCAGACTCATGTGCTGAGGCAAGACCCATGGAGGACACATGATGTTTGGAGGGTATAAATAGAATTCAATGGACAGTGATGGAGGCTGAGCTTGCCCTGCTTATAGAGCTAGCTGTGCAATGCTTGTTGGTCTCATATCTTTGCTGATCTTCACTTCTCTGAAAGAAACACAGCTGAAAACTTTTCCTAGCATTCCTGTTGGCCCTGGTCCCTCCTGCTGACTGGTGCCAGTTTGGCCGAGGCCTGGCTCTTCCTGATAGGTTGTGCCACCACTGCTGCTATCCTGACTGGACCGAACTGGACTGCTGATTTATCCCTGAGGTGTTTGCAACTGGACTGAGCTGCCGCTGCCGACCTGTGAACTAAACTACTGATTTCCTGACAACACAAATGGGTTTTGCTCTAAAGAACAACTTCTAAACAGATCCACTTCCCCTCGGATCCTTTCTTTTCCACTACCTCTGGTGGGTAGTGGGCTAGAAGGAAGGTTAAAGTGTTTAAGAACCATCATTAAAGATAGGTTTTAGCCGGGCGGTGGTGGCGCACGCCTTTAATCCCAGCACTTGTGAGGCAGAGGCAGGCGGATTTCTGAGTTCGAGGCCAGCCTGGTCTACAGAGTGAGTTCCAGGACAGCCAGGACTACACAGAGAAACCTTGTCTCGAAAAACCAAAAAGAAAAAAGAAAAAAAAAAGATAGGTTTTGAAAAAAATTAAAGTTATACACCTGTCTGCTGCCATATTCTCTACCATAATGGTCATAGATTCTAACACTCTGAAACTGTGAGATTCTGAAGTATGTGTGTGTGTGTGTGTGAGTGTGTGTGTGTGTGTGTGTGTGTACACAATCTTGGTCATGGTGTTTTGTCACAGCAATGGAAAGTAACTAAGATAGGCTCACCCCTATATGAGTGGATTCAGGGCCCCTGAATAAAAACCCCAGACTTCTTTTGTTTGAGAAGAGCCTTGCTTTGGAAATGACTCCTGTGTTATTTATCTGCTGCAGGCAATAAATCCTTCTCTACTGTGTTTACTCTGGCTTTGTGTTTACCACAATTCAAGCTCACAGCATTCTCTCTTATTTTCCCAAGATGTTTTACAGAAATGGCAAAGGATCCTCTCTCTCTCCCTCTCTCTCTCTGTTTTTTTTTGTTTGTGTTTGTTTGTTTGTTTGTTTGTTTGAGACAGGGTTTCTCTGTGTAGCCCTGGCTGTCCTGGAACTCACTCTGTAGACCAGGCTGGCCTCGAACTCAGAAATCCACCTGCCTCTGCCTCCCAAGTGCTGGGATTAAAGGCGTGCGCCACCGCTGCCCAGCAGAGGATCCTCTCTTATGTACCAGGAAATAGCAGAGATTGTTGTCTCCAGTCCAAGAAAACTACACAGTTGCCTCAGCCTTGGAACCCTGCTCAGGAGTCACTATAGGATTGATTAAGCTTAACCTTCCCCAAGGGAATGTCTATAAAGGCAACTGGCTGGGAGTTAAGTGGTGGATAAACTCCACTGGAAATAAAGGATTTAATGTTACTTAGATCTTGAATGAAAACGAGGCCACAGACACCTTCTAGGGAAGGTTGAGGGGAAGGTTTTATTGTAGACATGAGGAAGACCACAGCCAGAGGCCTCTGGAAGGGTCCAGACTGAGCGTGGACAAGAGAGGAGGCAGGGGAGTATAAGAGACGAAGAAGAGGGGAGGTTAAAAGAGACAGGGCAAGAAGACCAAGAGAGGCTCCTAGGACCAAGAGAGTGCAAGGCTGAAATGGCAGGTTTATGTAGGAATGAGGATGGGGGTCTTAAAGCCCACCCTCACAGTGACACACCTACTTCAGCAAGGCCACACCTACTCAGGGCCACACCTTCTAATAGTGCCACTTCCTGAGCTGAACATATACAAACCATCACAGAGAGGGTTTATTTTGCTTATACATCCAGGTACCAGAAGGTCAGAGTAGAAACTCAGGTAGGGCAGGAAACTGTATCCATTCTCTCCAGAGCAGGGATTACATATGCATCGCCATGGCCCACTTCTTTACATGGTTTCTAGAGTTTGAACTCAGCCTGGCAAGCGCTCCACTGACTGAGCTATTTCCGCAGCCCTCTATTATCTTTATAATTACTACTGTTGCCATAGAAACCAATTTGCCAGTTATTTGGCTTCCCAGTGCCTTTCCTCCCACCCTCACTATATTCTACTGTCTAGTGTGGTCTGATGCCATCACCTGTGTGTGTAAAACTCTAACAAATATCCCAAAGTCCTGATTGTCATTGTCCTTGAGGGAAGGGGGAAAAAGCAATAGAATGTAAAAAAATACAGAAAAGTTTTGTTTTAGTTGCAACATTTTATGTCTTTTATTTAAAGAAAAAAAAAAGCTTGAACCAAATATGACAATGTCATCACTTCTAAATCCTACATAGTAAAAGTCTATTATGTTGTACAATTTTCAAATCCCCCTATTCACTATCCACTATCAATATCCACTATGATTATGAAATGTTTATCCAGAATACAGGTTGATAAAAACTGAGAAAGTTATTTATAAATCCATTACATTCATAAGAAAAAGCACATGCAAATGATTATGAAATGTTTATCCAGAATACAGGTTGATAAAAACTGAGAAAGTTATTTACAAATCCATTACATTCATAAGAAAAAGCACATGCAAAGCAAAACTCCATCACGTACCACAGGGTAGAGAACCTAGAGTCATAAAGAGCAAAAGCTGGTTTTCTCCCTTGGTACCGATTTCCCTTCTCCAGAGTCAAATACTGCTGCCAGTTTTTAAGGTTTATTTTCAAAAATCCTGAATGCATCTGCAAGCGTGTGTGTCAACTCTAGAGGCACAGGACAGACTTCGTTCACAATACAGAACATCTTAGAGGCGGCCCCACATAAACACAAGGGAGATCTGGCTTTTTTACGGCTTCGTGGTATGCTGGTGTGTTGTGACATTCCGTAAGTTACTCCCTTCAGCCCGTCTGTATAGATGTTTACTATTATTGTGCTTTCTGCTACTAGAAGCAAAGTTCTATACGTCTATCCAGAAACGTTTTACATGTGTGCAAGTTGTCGGTGCAGAGTAATTTCCTTAGAAATGAACCTCAAGGTAAAACGTTCAAGCATATCATGGCCATGGCCAGGTCTTTCTCTCCAAACGGCACGTCATCACACACCCTGGTTATGTGACACTCATGCTACCATAGTACCATCCTCCATGTGTAGGAGTATTTAACTCCTTATGTGCTCCTCCTGTCAAATTCCTTGTCCGGTTTTCTTTTAATCTTGGAAATTTTTCTTTACTGTATGGAAAAATTTTTGAGACAAAGTCTCACTATGTATCCCTGGCTGGCTGGAACTCACTATGTAGACCAGGCTGGATTCAAACTCATGGAGATCCACCTGCCTCTGCCTCCTGAGAACTAGCATTAATGAATAGAAACTTTAGAGAAAAAAAAAAAGTTATGACATTTACTGCCAGAATTTCCCCAGCATTTGTTTCTTGACATTTCTGGCTGTCTTGGCACTTACTCTGTAGATCAGGCTAGCTTAAAACTCAAAGGTCCTCCTGCCTCTGTCTCTCTCATGCTGAGATTAAAGCTGTGCACCACAGTATTTTGCTAATATCTGTGCCCCTCCCCTCCCTGAGCCCCACAGCGTCCTTCCTGCTTCATGCCACATGTGTCCTCAAACAACCAATCCTTCTTGATACATACAGACATATATACATACACACATATATACATACATACATACATACATACATACATACATACATACATACAGAGAGAGAGAGAGAGAATATCAGTGCCAGCTAATTGCTCTGCTATCTCTTCCTACTGTCTGAATCCCCCACACCCCATATTTGCTTGCCCTGAGTAGGTGACTGCACATGAAATGTTTTGGTGCTTAAATGTTTAGATCAAAGAGTTTCAAAGACATCTAGAGACTAACCCTAGCTAACTGAAAGCTAGCATCTTCCTATCAAAGCACAGCCCTTATAATATACAGATGGGTCCTTGCCCTGGAAGCCAGACAGAGCAGAACATTGTAGAAAATGGCTGTCTCAAATCCCATTGGAATGATCCCAAACACTATACTTCTTTCCATGCCTGAAAATCGGTGGACGTTATCCAACACGATGTGATTACCCAGACTATCCAGCCCCTCCCTGACCTGCACTAGTGAACTGGGCTCCTCACCAAGCTGAGACATGGTCCTCCTCCTCATTGCTAGCAGAAGCTTTTCTCTACATTTTTCTATATCTCTGGCTTTAGCGAAAAGAACAGCAACATCAGTGGGGTAATAGCCAGACCTCCAAAGACACTGGCATTTCTCTGCTACATAGATTGCCATCTGCTCCAAGTTCAACTCATCAGTAATCTCTAAATTGCCTGTGACATCTGGACCCCACACACGTTCTTCGTCCATCGTCAGGGCCTCTCGTGGGACGTTCGGGGGAGGATTATTTTGGATTAGATGCATTAAATCTTGAAGGTAGTTGGCTATGTTGTCCCCGCTGCGAAGCATCCTGGTGAGCTTCAATATTGGCTTCTGGTGCTGGAGCTCAGGGAGGCCACTACAACACAAGTGATTGATCTGAAAGTAATCCAGAAAAATGTAGAGAACTCCTGGGCCATCTCTCCCTCTCTGAACGATGGCTTTTGCTTTTGCATACCAATTCCCGTCTTCAGTTCGGAAATTCTGAGCTTCGTCCACGATGATATGTTGGACGTTATCAAAGGTATTTTTCATAAAGATTTTTCGTGTCACTGCCTGGCAAATGTTTTGCCTGCTGAAAGTGTAAGAAACACAGTCAGATTTGCTCAGCTAAGCAAAGCAAGTCATTGCAGTAAATGGGAAATATTAGTAGTTAGTTAGTTCCTGAGCATGGTAGCAACAACTCAGAGCTTAGCCTGTGAAAGCCACACCCATTGAAAGCCACACCCATTAAAATTGCCCACCAGAAAGAATTGAATAGAGTCAGGCTACATACCTCACAAACCTCTTCAAAGACTGGTTCTCACAGATGTAAAGAATATCTTCAGCTTGACAGTTGAACACATTCCTAATCTTCTTTATGATCATGAGAGCTAGAGTGGTCTTCCCTGATCCAGGCAAGCCATGAATAAACAACTCTCTGTGCTCGTTCAGGTTCGTCTTAAGCAACTTATACTGTTGGTCTGTGAGTAGGGCCACAGTCTCAGACTCAAAGTTCAACTCTTCGTTTAACAAGGGTCTGAACCCAAACAAGATGACCACAAGAGATTGCAACAGAGTTTCCACCTGCTGCCTGGTTGTGAAGTTATAGGATTCAGGGTAAACCGGCATTTCTAAATCATCCCTTGTTCTTTGGTCAGGAGCCAGCTGTAAGACCATGGGAATGATACCTAATCTTCCAGTGTAGCCACCCATGTTCACCAGCCTCTGCTTCAGGGTGCGGGCGACTGTCATGGAATAGTGCCTGTTCCCCAGATCCCACTTGTTGCAAATGGTGTACAGGATTGGGACGTTGTTCAGGGAAATTAGAAGAGCGTCACAGATGACATCTTGCCTCTTCTGAAGACCTAGGTCCACAGCCCAGCTGTGGGAGAAGATCAATATCCCTTGAGAGAAACAGCGCATTTCTGTATTTATTAATTGTCTTAGAACTTTGTATTCTGAGAAGAGGTCCTTGTAGACGCTCTCTGGAGTATATGTAATCCCGTTGGGTGACACTAGACAAGGAAAGAATCAGAATGAATCAGAGACAAGCTAATAATCACCATTGCTCTGGGAATCTTTCTGGATAAGCACTTAACACCAATGAGAGTGGAAGAGAGGAGATGCCACCAGTGGACGAAAGCCAGGACAGCTCTGGAAAGCCTTCAAGCCCAAGGCCAGGCTATAATCACACGTTACACTCTAAAACCACTAGGTGGAGTGAGCAAGCAAGCAAGCAAGCAAGCAAGCAAGCAAGCAAGATTTTATAGAAGAGTATGTGGCTGTCAGCAGGATTTAAAGGGCCAGGACTCGTTTTCTTTTTCATGTGTTTCTCCAGGTCATTCTGTTTCAGGTAGCAAGTGAAGCCATGCTTGGCATAGAGGCGGTACAAGCAGTGCTTTAAGTAAATCACTAAACAAATCAATATCTAGTAATTAGTCTTACTCTACTTCACCATTACATGATATACATCTGCCAACCTTTGGGCCCTACCACATGTGAATGATCAGTTTTATATTAGTAACAAAAAAGAAGCAATCCTGAGTCTGGAGGAGCCCATAACCAGCTGCGATCAAAGGGGACAACAATGAGAACAAAGTAGCAAAGGAAGCAAGAAAGAGCCTCACTTGGATTATGTGAACATTAGTGGGAAGTACAGCATAGGATAAAAGACAGTTGTAAGTCTTTATAGAAAGGAGACAGCTGGGCTGAGCCTCCAGGATGCCTTTTAATTAGCCAGAGGAAGGATGCTGGAATAGAGAGATAATAAAAGGAGAAGCATGAGCTGGGAATGGTAGAATGTGTCTTTAATCTCAGCCCCCACGAGGCAGAGGTAAGTGGAACTCTATGAGTTTGAGGCCAACCAGAGCCACACAGTGAGGCTGTCTATAAAAAGGAGAAGCCTGTGTAAACATGGAGGCAACAAGCACCATAGTCCATCCGGATAACTCTACACAGTTTGTGTTTCCAAAAGTGAGAGGCAAAGAAAGAGAGATGGGGATATAGAGAAAAGCACTTGAGAGCCAAACTGGACCCTTGAAAAAAGCCACATGCTGGCCAGTGCAGCAATCAATCAACACCTGCCATAGGTTATGAGTTAGGGCAGTCTGGTTACAGGAGAGGCAGCATGAAGGTGGTTTCCTTTGTGAATGATAGAACTGTTTTGTATTTTGACTGTTATGGTGGTTACATGAAACTATGGGTATACTAACATCAGAACTGTACAACAAGAATGCCTACTTTATGTAGGTTCATTGTGAGGTTTAAAGGTCTTTTACAAGATTTTTATATATTGTATGTATGAATATATACAAAGATGCAAGACACATATAAAGACTTTTTGGATGTATACTATTAATAAATGATATATTGGATATATGTTGCATATATATTTTATGTATATCTATTTCTAAAACTTTTGGAGGATTACAAGTCCTGATTGAAATATAACCTAAACTACGAATCCTTTTATTAGAAAATCAAATTCACACTTGGGAGGTAGAGGCAGGCAGATTTTTGTGAGTTCAAGGCCAGTCTGATCTACATTGTGAGTTCTAGGACAGCCAGGACTACCTAGTGAGACTGTCTTTAACAAACAAACAAAGATATCAACAACAATAAAAATAAAATTCAAACAGAAATCTGTATTTACAAATCAAGGTACAAAATAGAGCCAAGGATGAGTCCTTATTTCTGTGTTTAGTCGGATGGACAATAGACACTCCAAGTGACAGAATTTTAAACAGTTAATTTTTTAAAATTAATTGTTTTTTATGACTTTTTGTTTGGTGGTTGGTTTTTGGTTTTTTGAGCCAGGGTTTCTCTGTGTAGCCCTGGCTGTCCTGGAACTCACCAAGTGCTGGGATTAAAGGCGTGTGCCACCACTGCCTGGCTGTTTTGGGTTTTTTTTTTTTTTTTAAAAAAAGATTCCAGCACTTGGGAGGCAGAGGCAGACGGATTTCTGAGTTCCAGAACAGCCTGGTCTACAGAGTGAGTTCCAGGACAGCCAGGGCTACACAGAGAAAGAGATTTGAGAAGCTCTTTTTTTTTTTTTTTTTTTGAGGCATATGGGTGATTTTTTTCTGCATGACTGTTGCTGTACTATGTGCATACAATGCCTACCAAGACCAGAAGGTGATATCTAATCTCCTGGAGCTGGAATTTCAAATGTTCTTTAGCCATCATGTGGGTTCTAGGAATCAAATGAGGGTCTCTGCAAGAGCAACAAGTGCTCTTAACTGCTGAGCCATCTTTACAGCCCCTGAACAATTAATTTTTAAAAGTACTCATAGAAAGCAATATGCAGATTCTAAAGAAAAATGACAGGTAGTTGACCATATGGCTGGTACCATAAACTGGATACACAGACAACTTGGACACACCAGTAAAATTTTTACAGGCTAAGAGAAATATTATTTATCTTTGGTTAAAATGGACTGAACTCAGAGTGTATCTTACTACATTTTTTTCTACTACGATTTTAATTTAACATTTTTTAGAATAATTAACCAGTGAAGTACAAGTATAAGAAATAAAAATTCATAAATATAGGAAAGGTTACTAAGAATTACCTTTTCTTTTCACATTAAGAAGTTTATTAAGAAAGAACTAGCCGGGTGGTGGTGGTGCACGCCTTTAATCCCAGCACTTGGGAGGCAGAGACAGGCGGATTTCTGAGTTCGAGAGTTTGAGGCTAGCCTGGTCTACAGAGTGAGTTCCAGGACAGCCAGGGCTACACAGAGAAACACTGTCTTGAAAAACCAAAAAAAAAAAAGAAAAGAAAAGAAAAGAAAGAAAGAAAGAAAGAAAGAAAGAACTAAGCTTTTCCTGCACATAGGCAGATCACCATCATAAGTTAGAATCGTAAAAGACCCCACTCTAAGAATGACATTAACATATGAAAAAACAATGTTATAAAGCCTTGAAATAATTAGGATATATGCCATATTTCATTGATTGTAGATGTACTTCAATGTCTCATAAGTCACACACCTTACTAAAATCATACATTGTTACATTTTAGCAAAATGAAGAAAAGATTTGTGTGCTTAACCAGACAATCCATGTTGAACCAGAAGAAAATTTACTATTGTAAAATTGACAGTTCTTGGGACTGGATAGATGGCTCAGTGGTTAAGAGCACTGACAGGGCTTCCAGAGGTCCTGAGTTCAATTCCCAGCAACCACATGGTGGCTCACAACCATCTGTAATGGGATGTGATGCCCTCTTCTGGTGTGTTTGAAGACAGCTACAGTGTACTCATATACATAAAATAAATAAATAATTCTTTTTTAAAAATTGACAATTCTCTCCAAATCAGCTCACTAACTGAATATATTGGCCATCAAAATATTGGATTCTTCTTTTCTTTTTGATACAACAAAATGCTTCTAAGATTCTTCTAGAAGAAAGCCACCATGGTAAGACCACATTGGTGAATATGGGTCTGAGCATCTATTTTGGATTGCACTTTGGGAATGTCCATCTAAATTTATAAGCAATTGTTACTACTCAGAATTTATCCTCAGACCATGTCAGTTATTTGTAGAAAAATGTGTACTGTACTGCTTAAAATAGAAAAAAAAAAAGTGGTGGGTATTGTGGCAACACCTTTAACTCTGAGATCCAGGACACCTAGGGCTACACAGAGAAACCCTATCTTGAAAAAAAAAAAAGAAAAGAAAAATTAAAAAGAGAAAGGAAGGACAGACAGAGTGAGAAGGAGGGGGGGGGAGGAAGAAGAAAAAGAAGAAGAAAGAAGAGGAGGAGGAGGAGGAGGAGGAGGAGGAGGAGGAGGAGGAGGAGGAGAAGGAGGTTGAAAGAGAAAAATGTTAGCCATTTTCCAAAAGCCATCAAAAAAAGAGAATCTGAAAAAGAAATGGCAGCAGATCATTTGAAAAGCTCTGGTTACTTATTTTATTTAGGTAGTTACACAAGTTTCATGGTATAATTACTTACTAAATTATATCTTTGTTCTATGTCCCTGCCATATGCAAAAGCTTAATAGTGAAGTAATTAAAACCAAGAAAAATCCAGAAACCCTAGAATGTTTCAAAAACATTTTGTAATCAATAAAAGAACCAAGAAAATCCATGAAAAAGGTCACAACAAGATGTTCCTGGGCATAGTCCACCCGCAGCCCTGTGCTTGCTCATGGCGATAATGCACTCATTCTCACTGCTAATGTTGGATTCTGAAACTATATTGCAACATACTTACCCATTGTGGTAATGGTTATAAGCCGTCATGTGGGTGCTGGGAATCAAACCTCTGAAAGAGGAAATGGCCCTCTGAAAGAGCAGCCAGTGCTTTTAACTGTTAAGCCATAGCTCCAGCCCCTCTCTAAACTTTCCATAGGTGGTTTGTATGGACATTCAAATCAAGGCTTTCTCACCCCAAATATGGGAACACTCAACGTGTTCCAAAGTGGCCAGAAATGGCAGTTACCTGGAAAGTAATCCTTCTGAAGTTCTTCCACAGATTTCAAATATTTATGTATCAACACAGTCCTGCTGCGGGGTGTGGTGTTTAACATATTCCACCTGGGGATCATCTGAGGGAAACTGGAAAGCTCTGAGGAAACATGAAACAACAATTGAGTATACAGAGGGCAGACCCCACTTCTTAGCTGAGCCATGTTAAACTCAAAGCTGTGATTTGTAGATATTTGCATTTCCAGCACAGATCAGCTGGAAACCAAAACCAGGTTCCCTGCAAGAGCAGCCCATGCTCTTAATCTCTGAGCCACCTCTCCAAATACTGAATATTTAATCATATTGAATAAAAGTATTTTATGTTTTAAGAATACTAGTTTAAGTATGTGTGAATAGAAAATGTGACGGTTGATGATATAGGATGCTGAATAATTTTGAAATGGACCTTTTTGTTTGTTGGCTTGTTTGTTTTGTTTTGTTACTATTTTATTGGTTATTTTATTTATTTTCATTTCTAATGTTATCCCCCTTCCCAGTTTCCCCTCCACAAGCCTCCTATCTTTTCCTCCCTTGATGTTTTGTTACTTTTGAAGTTACCATTGGCTTTCTCTCATCTAATCTCATTTTATCTTGTCTTTTCCAAAGCAAATGCCTATCGCATCCCTGCTTCCTAGCCTTTCAGTATGCTTAGTGTCACACTGTGGCTCCCAAAATGGAAAAATGGAGAAATCATGGTTTGCTCATGAAAGGCTCAAAGAAAGAATGAAAAATGTTTTTTGCAGATTGGGAGGTAACTCAGTGCTTAAGAGCATCGCTGTTCTTCCAGAGGACCTAGGTTCTGTTCCTAGCACCCATATGACAGCTCACAACCATCTGTAACTCCAGCTCCATGGGTGCTGCTGCCCTCTTCTGACCTCCACAGGCACTGCACATACATGTTACACAAATATGCAGACAAAATATCTGTATGTAAAATTAAAAAAAAATTTAAAAAAGAGTGCTTTAAAAATTGGAGAGAGGAAACTGTCAAGAAGTTAAACAGGACACTGTATGTAAACTAAAAAATAAAAATAAAAAAAGAGTGCTTTAAAAATTGGAGAGAGGAAACTGTCAAGAAGTTAAACAGGACACATCTGTCGGTTCGGAATGGAAATTTGCTGAGTAGTTAAGTGAAAGCTAGTCATTGCAAAGGACGAGGTCTTAACATGAACATGAGGAAAGCTGTCCCAGGCGAGGTGGTTCACACCTGTCACCCAACACTCTTGAAGGCTGCCGCAGGAGGGTTTGAGTTTGGAGCCAGCCTAGGCTAACCTGACTCAAAAAATAAACAAGAAAAAAAAAAAAAAGATGTGGGACAAAAGTGACTATAAGGGATTGCCCCTGCATCAACCTCTAATGGGACTGCCATTCTGACAAATGCAGAGTATTCAAGATGAATAGTCAGAGGAAAGGGCAGTGGCCTACCATCTGTAGGGATTAATCTCTTCCCCTCAAATTTCAAAGAATTTCACATCTCTCTTTTCTCTATACTCCCACACCCCCAGCCAGTCCCTGCCCCATCCCACCTCATGCCTGGCCCCGCGCCTGTCTCCCACCCCACCCTACCTTACCCAGCAAACATCATATCATTTCTGTCTTATCCTCTGACCTGGGTTGGCTTCTATCATCCAAGAGGTCCAGTCCTTTTCGGTTAACTGCTTCATATTATCGTCCTTTATCTCCCAGGAATCGGGCGCTTTGGCAAATGCTACACAGCAGAATCGTTCTACCTTGATTGCACAGACATACCCACGGAGGACCTCCTTATCATACACTTCAAGGAATTTGAGGGCATATTGCACTTTGTGGTTATGTGCACAGAAGTGATAGACAGGCATCTTCCTGATACAGACATCGATAGTAGTCACTAAATTGGAACGATTTATTTTTTCCTTTTCACATCCAATTACTTGACGGGTCTCATCATGCACGCCAAAAAACACATAGCCTCCTTCAGAATTGGCAAGTGCAGAGACGCACTTGGGAAGCCTCTCTCTAAGGCCCTGTGAGAGGTCTGCCGAGAACATTTGAAATTCAACGTGTGGTGACTCTGTAAAGTTGAGTTTTTCCAGGTACTGGAGCTGCGGGCTATCAAACAAATCAGAAGCTAAGATCATCTGATCATCATCAACAGGTACTTCCTGTAGATTTAGTGAGTCGGGACCACCAAGATTCCTAAGATCCTGGACCCTTCTGAGGAATGTCAGGGCTTCTGCAGAATCCATGACCTCCGTAAATGTTCCATATCTGTGGTACAAATTGGAACACAAGGTAGCGAGCCGTACCTGTGAGGCTGCCACGTTCCACGAACTCACATATATTAAAAAGAACTTTCCATGCACCATCTCGTCTAAATGGTTTCTGAACAATGGTGGCAGATTCAGGCCTACTCCATCCCTCTCAAAATCATAGTCTCCGTTCTCAATCTCAACCCTGACTACTCCGCCGCCGGAATTCAGCAGAGCGCACAGGGCTTGAGAGATGATTTCGTTCTGTTTCATCCGGAGAGTGGCGTCCATTTCCACCCTTTGCCTAACCCCAAGGGTGGCTTTTCCCCCATCTATCATACACTCTGCAAAGTTCAGTTCCAAATTTGCTAGGAAACTCATCTTCTTGGCCTTTAGCTGAAACCTTTTCCTGAAATCCAGAAAGACAGAACCATTATTAGACTAGAACAAGCAGACGGGAAATGAAGTTTAAGGGCGCCTTTCTGAAGTTGGCCCTTTATCCCATGAGGCTTGAGGCCAGCTTCATGAAAGAGGCTAAGTCTGTGGGATGGCCACTTTCATCACAGAAATAGGCACAGGGAACTGCTCATCTTTCCTTTAAGAATGTATTGTGTGCATACACTGGCCAGTGCCGCAGCATGCACGAGGAGGTCAGGAGTCAGTTCTCTCCCACCCGTGCAAGCATTTTTACTCACTGGGCCATCTTACCAGAGCATATGCTGTGGTTTGGGGAACTATATTGGTCAAGTTCTTTGGGTGGCAAAGTTTCTCGGTGCATCTGTAGAACCCAGGAAATTTTCTAATAGTACTTGTAGACTCCAGGAAGGAAGCTTCCTTGATCAAAAGCAATCTGTGTAGTATGCTGGTGTTTATTTTCTTGCTTCATTTTTATCTCTCTCCACTGATCAAGACTAGGAAATTTCAGCCGGGCGGTGGTGGCGCACGCTTTTAATCCCAGCACTTGGGAGGCAGAGGCAGGCGGATTTCTGAGTTCGAGGCCAGCCTGGTCTACAGAGTGAGTTCCAGGACAGCCAGGGCTACACAGAGAAACCCTGTCTCGAAAAACCAAAAAAAAAAAACAAACAAACAAACTAGGAAATTTCTAAGATTTTTTTTTTAGTTCAATGTGATTTTATTAGTAATTTATCATTGTTACTATTGAAAAGATGATTTTGAATCCTCTGATCCAGATGGTTTCTTTTTGCGTCAAAAAAAGTTACATGCGCACATGTACACATACACATGTAGACACACACATGTATGTATACACACACACAAAAACACACACACTCATAGAATATCAATGCAATCCAAATATGGTTAGGAAGGCAAAGGCAGAATTCCTGCAGCTATATCTGGCAGAATTTCATGAACAAAATTAGTGACTATTTGGAACAATAGTTCTAATCAAATGGCAGTTTGATATAGATTTTAGACATTTAGGAAGGTGTGTGTGTAGCATACCTCTAAGAAGTAAGGGGTTTTTTTTGTTTGTTTGTTTTGTTTTGTTTTGTTTTCTAGATGAGTAGGGTATCTAGACATAGAACACCCTGAAGAACTGTCAATCAACAGGAAAAGTGAAAACTATCTCCACATTTGCATCTCATGTCACCAACCTTTGAACCCAGACCCAACCATCTGTGTCCCCTCAAGAGGCTGGTTGCAAACCAGAGAGATGACTTTTTGGATCAAAGCTAGGATCTCATGATTAAAAACTCAAAATAGATGGAGACCCATATCTGGTTTTATTAGTGACCTATGATTCTTGGTCTAAACAGACAGCAATTCGGGGAGAACTGCAAATTCGCTGGTCTGTAGGGCCTGTTCTGCCCTGTAACTCTCATTGTTATGGTTAACGGGGGCACACAAAAAAGAGAAGGGGATAAAAAAGAATAGGCCGACTCCACCCAGGATGCTGCCCTCATGTGAGAAGCATTAACAAACTTCAAACTGAAAGGTGAGAACTCTCTATAAGAGAACTGAGTCACCATCACTCACCACATCAGTGGTGAACCAACAAGCTCCCATCAGCAAAGCGCAAGAAGCTCAGTGGGTACTCACCTGGCAAAGGCTGAGCTCTAGAGCAGCAAGTGGTGAGCTGGCGTCTCGCTGGAACCTCCAGGAAACTGTGGATGTTATTAAGAGCACTCACTTAGAACGTGATACTGATTCTGAACTAACTATAACTAGGGAGTCAAACACCACCTCTTTTGTTGGCTGAACTCAATAAGAGGAAGGAGAGTTGAAAAGCCTGCTAAGCTTGGGTGTGGTCTGACTGGGATTGTTATTACTGGGGAAAGAGGTAATCTGATAGAAATGGAGTATCCTTCACCATTAATTTAGGGAACATATTTGGCTTCCTGAATAGGAAGTGGAGGCAAAATTAGGAAAGTTGCCAGTTATTAGCCAACCAACTTTTAAATAATCAGGGGTTATGGTTTGTTTGTTACAGAGTGTGTGGTCAGATTCTTTTTTTTTTTTTTGAGACAGGATTTCTCTGTGTAGCTCTGGCTGTCCTGGAACTCACTCTGTAGACCAAGCTGGCCTCGAACTCAGAAATCCGCCTACCTCTGCCTCCCAAGTGCTGGGATTAAAGGCGTGTGCCACCACCGCCCGGCAAGATTCATCTTCTCTCTGTCTCAACATTTTCCCCCTTAGGTTAGGCAGACATTTCATATACATGACATTAAATGCATAATATAGGAAAGAAAGGGATGGAGAGATGGCTCAGTGAAAGAACACTGGCTGTTCTTCCACAGGACCTGGGTTCAAATCCCAGTCCCAGGTGGTGGATAACAACTGTCTGTAACACTGTCCCATGGAATCTGACACCCTCTTCTTCCAAGGGCACAGCATGCACATAGTGAACAGACATGCATGGAGGCTAAACACCAAGACACATAAAAGAAAATAATTACGTCCTTTTAAAACTTCATTTATTTGTGCTTTATCTATCTGGATGTTCAGTCCACATGTATGTGTGTGTGTGCCTGGTGCCCGTGCAGGCCAGAGAGAGAGTTAGATTCCCTGAAGCTGGTGTTACTGATGGCTGTGCGCTGCCTTGTGAGAGCCAGGAATCAATTCAAGTCTTCTGCAAGCGTAAGCAGTGCTCTTGACTGCTGAGCCTCCTCTCTAGCCACCCCCCCCCCCCCCCCCCGCCAGCAGATAGAGCTTTTTAAAAAAAAATAGGAAAGAAAAACTCAACACACTGAACTCTAAGAATTTCCCTTCTTGGATTGCAGCCCCTAAAGGGATAGGAACTCCACAGGAAGACCAACAGAGTCAACTAACAAGGACCCTTGGGGTTCTCAGTCTCAACCTCCAACTAAAGAACATTGTTTGCAAGTAAGAAACCCTGAGTTTTCTCCCCAACACTGCCAGAAACCAAACTGTCTGCTGTTTGTTTTTTTTTTTTCTGTAGAAACAAAATCTATGATAAAACCAATGGCTCTAATTCTGCATACTGCACTGTGAGCCTTTTGTTTTGTTTTGTTTTTTGTTTTTTAAGACAAGGTCTTACTATGCAGACCTGGGTGACCTAGAACTCACTTTGTAGACCAGGTTGGTCTTAAACTTCTAGAGATCCACCTGCAACTGTCTCTTCAGTGCTTGGATTAAAAGGTGTGGGTCTCACCTGTCATTTTAAGACTTTCAGATGCCTCTAATCTTTGTTTTCCTTTTGCCTTGCTTGTTGTAAATTTAGACTTCTTAGACCCACCAAGTGCCCTCTTGGTGAAAATCTACTGTGTGGTGAGGAAAACAGCAGACTTTCCAAGCTGTGCACAAAGCCTCCTCTCCTCCCCTGCAGTTACGAAAGAGCAGGAAGTAATACCCTCCAGAACTTTGAGAGTTGTTTTTCGTTTTGTTTCATATTTTCACTGACAAAGTAATCCTCCCAGACATTAGGACTTAGAGACTGCCTTTTGGGTCCAGCAGCGACTACTGAAAGTCCTCCTGCTGTGTCAATACTTCTGAAATGGATTTCTGCTTTCTGATGGGTATAACTCCTATCCCATCAGGAAAACCCACCGTCACATCGCCATCGCGTCTCTTCTTTCACTTTCACAAAGATAGTGGCATTTAAATTTTAAATGCCTCCTGACATTTAAACCCTTCCTTCTGGTTCAGAGTGCTGTCGAAATGAAGACACTGCTCTGGTACAGGTCCAGACACAGGAACTCTCAGTTCCTGCCTGCTCCCCTCCCCACTCCCCCCCACCCCACCCCCCCACACACATTAGAGATCAGTTTCTATTTCCCAGGCATGGCAAACCAAAACTAGCTTTGGTCTTTTGAGGGGAGGGGGGACCAAGAGAACTTCAGACAGTGCACCCACTTCCTCTAAACCACCAGCCACCACCTCACCCCAACCCTAGGACCTGAGGAGCTACTACCAAATGCCTTCATCTCTCCCCTCCCTTCCCCTGTCACTTCTGCTTTCAGAGCCACCCTGTTTAAAGGGAAACAAAGTGAAGGGAATCATGCTCTGCCAACCTGCTTCTTTGGACTGCCACTGAATTGTTGTTAACCCCGTTATCACTTATCATCGATACTGGGCTCTGCGGGTTCCCCTAGGTCAGTGGGCACCAAGCCAGATGTTTAGAGGTGGCTCTGGTGATAGACGGGACACTTCCCAGTCTCCTCCCCGGGATAAGACCACACTTGGCCTCCTTCCTCGGGACAACTGATACCAGATAGTTTGCTCTAAGGTGCAGCAGAGCAAACCTTATAAGGTTGGTTTGGAAAGGTTTGGGCTCCCCTTCTCAAGCCTCAACACCTCCCTCCCGCTGCCGCCCAAGCCTATGGGCTCTAGATGCTCCCCAGCCGGCTCTCCTTAGATATTACCAGCCGGCGTTACAATGGGAAGCGAACTCTGGAATTCAGGCGCGGCACCCTACCTTGCCACAACTTCGCGGGGGAACCTGATGACTCTGGCTTTGATAAAACTTGTGCAAAAGCCTATGGGGGACCCGTTACCCGCAGCCAGCGTCTGTCTTCCGCAGCGCGCCCGCCTTCTGGAGTCAGAGATGATGTCCCTTGGACCAGAGTGGAGACCTTTACCCTGCGGGCTCTTGTCCTTATATCAGCTGAGCACAGTGACATCGCACGGGGCGGGGCACTGTGCAGAAAACAGTCCTGTTCGCTTGACCCAGGAAACCCCAGTGCTGCCAATAACTTTAATTAACTTTAAGAAAGAGGAAGGCTTTTTCTTATTTTTCACTTTGAAGGGGCGTTAATAGTTCATACGGCCACTTAGGGAAAGAAACCTGGCGCAATCACAAGTCCCTCAAACCTCCCCGACCCTACCTGGCCCTTTTCGGGACACTTAAGACTCCACTGCTCCAGAGTCCCTCTCCTCAGTGCCTGGAAGTCCCTCGGTTTCCTCGGTTTCTGCTGGAATCCTCACGTCGAGGTCATCAGCTAACCAAGGACAGCGATCTTCTGGGTGGTGGGTCGGTGGAGGCAACGGGAAGAAGAGGCAGAAAGTTAAAGCTCTCCTTTGTCTCCACTTCCCTAAATGTTCGAGATTGTTGATGCCTTACCCCTTCTTCCCCCGTGCAAGCTCTTTCCTCTACCTTTACCCTCCAGGCGCAGGTTCCTGCAGGACAAGTCGCTGCCTGACAAATTGGGCTGAAGTGGGGACAGGGTAGTTCGCAAGGATCCAGAGCAGTAAATGCTGCAACTGGAGATGAGGGTGGAGGCGGATGAGGACCGAGCTCCCTGGGAGCTGACTCCAGCCTAGATCTCCCCGACCCTGTGACACTTGGAACTCCTAAGCATTCCTCCAGTCCTGACGCTAACTGTCGCCTTTCCTGTCCTTCTTTACGTTTCTTAATATTCTGGTGAGTACATGTTGCTCTTACGCTTTACAACAACTCAGGCATGGAGACCCCCAGAACCTCTGGAGCTGGGGGAACAAATCAGGTTCCCTCCTCCCCAACAGACTAAAGAAAAAAGCTAAAGGAATAGGAATGGAGGTGGCTGTTAAAGAGATTTAAAGCCATTAATAATCCCTCTATTAGTTAATGCTGCCGGTACTTTCCCTCCTCCTCCAGTCAGCATGACACAGCTGGAGGCTGCAGTCAGTAAGTCCTGACCCCTGAAAAGCTCAAGGGTGTCACAGAGAGGTCCGTGTTGGGATTCTGTAACCTTGTGACTGATGAGACTTGTGGAGGGGGTGGAACCTGGCAACCACACCCTTTCATAGCAACCAGGAGCCTAGAGCCTGGTCAATTCTTTTACATTTTCTCTTTGAAATCCAGATAACTGGTTTATAATATTCCCTTTTGAGCAAAAATACATTTCTCACTCTACATATGTGTTCATGTGTGTGCAGGTACACACATGTGTACAGCTATACATTCCGAAGAATATACAAGAAGGCCAGGGGACCTTTCATCTGCCTTTTGAGACAGACTCTTTCATTGGTCTGGAACTCACCACATAGGCCAAGATGGCTGGCCAGCAAGCACTAGGGAGCTTCCTGTGTGCCTTCCAGGCACTGGGATTACAAACACATGGTTTGTAGAGATGAAACTCAGATTTGAGCTACCTCTCTAAGCCTCTTCCTGGCAGCAAGTTAAAAGTAAATTCATAGACATGATTACAACACTCCTTACAATGTTTGCCATTTGACAAAGTGGAATAAAACAGGCTCAGTCATTGGAGGAAAATGACATTTTTATCAACATCTGTTTAAATGAACAATACATAGCATAGTTAATGAAGGAGGAATCAATCCTGCTTTCTGACCCTCGGAGCACCTGCTTTGAGGTTCAAGAGTACCCTGACATTTTTCCTGTCCCAGTGGGTAGGTGTCTTCTCAGGAAGCTTAGTCCTTCAATCAATTCTTGATGTCTTGAGGGAACAGGAAAACAGAAGTGGCTTGGAATTTTCTTTCTGCACTTTCCCTCAGATTGCAATCACCTTGACAGAAGCAAAAATAATCTAGAGAGTGCTCTCCCTTTGGATGGTCAGACCAGTGGGACCTGAGGACTTGGAAATTGCCTGGGGATCTCATGCTGGAAAAGAGGAAGAGGCTGGTGGCAGTCAGAGGAGGAGCTGACTCTCTGGAAGAGCTGTCACACAGCTCTGACAACTTGTCAGAGCATCTTGCAGGACAGACAGAACATCAGGACAGACAGAACATCAAGGGACCAATTCACTAGCAAGACTACACCTTGACCAGGAGTACTTAGTTCTGCTCACCCTCAGCCTCTGTTTAACCCTAAGCTTCACATCAGTGCCTAGAAGGACTTGTGGGCCACTGGGCCTCCTTGTTTGATCCTTTTCCTGAAGAGGCCACACTGGGTAACTCTTTCTCTGCTTGTCACTATTACTTATTTCTGTAATTGTTGTATTAAGGACAGGTGGCTGAGCTCAGCTTATTGGGGGTGCCAGGCTTGGGCTTTACCCCCAGATCTCCAGCAGACAACTTTTCATCTGAGAATGAATGTTTCCACGGCTAGAAGAGACTTTCCAAAGATGCCCACTTCCTACTCCAGCGAACCAGAGAGCACGTGGTGTTTTCTGGCGGGGAGTTAAGGCAGTAGATGAACCAGAGGCTGTGAATCAACTGACCTTAAAATAAAGAAGTTATCAGATCCAAAGATTAGACAGACAGACAGAGAGAGAGAGAGAGAGAGAGAGAGAGAGAGAGAGAGAGAGAGAGAGTGCCAAAATTGGATATCTCCATCGGGTCTCTTCCCTTTGAACTCTGGGAACCCCAGGGAAAAGGAGGATGAAAAACTGTCAGAGCCTGAGGGGTTGAGAACACCAGGAGAAGGTGGTCACGGACATCAACTAAACAGGGCTCACCAGGGCTCACAGAAACTGAAGAGGCAATCACAGAGCCTGTATAGGTCTGTGCTAGGTCTTCTGAGTGCTTTCTGTGTCTGTTTAGCCTGGTGTTTTGTGGGACTCCTCTTAGTGGGAGTGAGGTGGCAGGGTGGGGGTGGGGCATCTCTTAACACTCTCAGATTGCAGGACCGTTTTCCTCCTACTGGGTTGCCTCACCCAGCCTTGATAAGAAGTCTTGTTCCTAGTTTTATTGTAACTTGTTATGCCATGTTCAGGGGATAACCCAGGGAGGCCTGCTGTTTTCTTAAGGGAAATGGAGAAGTGGTTCTGAAGGAGTGGGGGCCAGTAGGGGACGACACTGGGAGGAATGGAGGGAGAGGAAACTGTGGTCAGGATGTATTAAAAACAAAAATAGGCTAAAAAATGTAAGTAAGTAAGTAAATAAATAAATAGAATAAAAATAAGAGGTCATTCTGGCTGCCTATGATGACCTCAAGGATGCTATCAGTACCAGGGAGGCAACACAGTGTTGATAGGGAGAAAGGCTCGCTGGCAGCTGCTATCCTTTGAAGTGGAAGGTAGCATAACATAGCTCTTAACCGGAAAAGCAGTTTGGGGCCAGCAAAGATGGCTCAGCAGGTAATGGCTCTTGCTGCCAAGCCTCAGCTCAATACCCAAGACTTATATGGTGGAAGGAGAGAACCAGCTCCTACAAGTTACACTCTGGCCTTCATTTGTACACCATGGCAAATACATGCGCACACACAAACACACACACATTCTTACACATGCATATAAAACAAATAAATGCAAGCCAGTTGTAATGAAAGCATTTTACAGCCTTTTTATTTTATTCTTACATAAATAGAAAGATGCTTCAAGCTAGGGCTAAAGCATCTGTATTATGAATTTTTCAGTAAGAAAAAAATCAGCCCCTGCTTTCTTGGAGTGTCCTGGAAGTCTAAGCTCCCTAGGTTCTGGGCTATCTTAGTATTAAAGTGGAAAGTGGAAACTTTTTGGCAGTTCATGAGATGTTCACGCTAAATTTTAAGAACAATTGCTTGGGAGGCTGAAGAGATGGCTAGGAATTAAGAGCATTTCCTGCTCTTCCAGAGGATCTGAGTTCGATTCCCAGCACCCACGTGATACCTCACAACTCTCTGGAGCTCCAGTTGCAAGAGATCTGATGGCCTTTCTGACCTCAAAGGGTTCTGCATGTGCATGGTTCACAGATACAGATGAAGACAAACACTCAGACACATAAAAGAAAAATAAATAAGATATCAAAAAAGTATATATGATGAACATTTATGGCTAAGGTTGTTCTTCTTGTAACCTATCAAGCAGGAAGAAGTCACTCAGCAGTGAAATACACATTTTCAAAGAGAAGTTCATAGCCGGTGGTACACTTCTTTCACCCCAGCACTCAGGAGGCAGAGGCAGGCATATCTCTGAATTCCAGGCCAGCCTGATCTACAGAATGAGTTCCAGGACAGCCAGGGCTACACAGAGAAACCCTCTCTCAAAAAAACAAACAACAACAACAAAAACAAAGTCATAAAGCCAAAGCACATTAACTAGATATGACTGGATTAAGAGAGACTGAGGTTTTAATTTAGAACCTGAAGGAAAAAAAACTTCCAAGGTATTAAGGGACTTGAATCAGCACCAGGGGAGTCCACAGTGAGGCACCAAGCACACTAGAAGGCACCGGGCGTCAGCTCGGGGCTGCACTGCCCCTCACTTGCCCTTCCAGTCACTTTCTGCACACATGCTTTCTTTCACTCTGAGGTTATTAAACAAAACAAAAAGTAGACCCTGTAACAGCTGGAGAAACTTTCGAGTTCTCAATAACAAGGAAATCAGCTGTTTAACCAACACATTTCCTGGGTGTGCCACTGAAAAGCAAGAAGCTACCTTGCTGGCACTGTGCCCAGAGAGGTTGAAGGGCGGTGAGAGACTGTTCTGTGTATACTGCAATGGCAGTGTTTGCCAAAATCCACAGGCCACACAACCCAGAGGGAATCCTATGGTTATGCTATGCCAGTGTAGGCTCATCAGCTGTAACAGATGTGCTGCTGTGCAGCAGACATCCTTGTCTGAGGACAAGTGGTATGTGGGAATCCTCTATGTTCTGGTCCATTTTTCCTTGAACATCAAACTGTTCTAGAGGGCTGGAGAAATGGCACAGCAGTAAAAGCATACTGCTCTCCCAGAAGACCCCAGTTCAGTCCTCACCACTTGGGTGGGTGAG